TGGTGTGTGTGTGGGGTGTGTGTGTGTGGTGTGGTGTGTGTGTGTGGTATTGGTGTGTGTATGTGTGTGTGGTGTGTGTGTGTGTGTGTGGTGTGGTGTGTGTGTGGTGTGTGTGTGTGTGGTATTGGTGTGTGTGTGTGTGTGTGTATGTGTGGTGTGGTGTGTGTGTGTGTGTGTGTGTGGTGTGTGTGTGTGTGTGTGTGTGTACCATCTTGGCTACACTGGTCTCTTGGTCTCTTGGCCCATGCTGCTGCCTCTCTCGCTCTCCTTCCCCCTCTCTCCTCTCGTGGTCCAGTTTAGTCTGCTGGCCATGATCAGCCTGGACTCTTCCCTTTGCCTGCTTTCTCCCTTATCCCTACAGTTAAAAAATCTCCGTACTTTAGTAGCCATGTCCTCCTCTTTTTATTTCATTTTCACTCACTAACCTCATGGCAGTCTTCCTGCCTCAGCCTCCCAAGTGTTGAGATTATAGGCCTGGGTCCAATATCTGCTTCAGGGACTCTACTAATTACATCCAGACCCTTGCCTTAGAAGGAAGCACTCAATGCTTCCTTGTTCTGTAATTAGATGCTTATAGCCATCTGGCATCTCCTGTGACATATTAGTGGCCTTGGCCCAATTTCTGATTGGCACGTATCAACATTAAATGGACATGAATCTAAATCCACAAGACAGCTTAACTTTCTGAGTAAGAAAGACAATGTCTTCATTGTCTCAGGCCGCAAGGCAATTGGTCTTCACAGGTTTTTTGTTTAACCTGTAAAGAAGTGGAGCATGAAAGATCCCCATGTTATTTTAATCTCCTCTACTACCTGAAACAATGTCTAGACACTGCTGTAGTCTTAAAGAAGTTACAGGCCATTGTATCCCTCTTTGATTTGAGGCCATGGGCATTCCTAATCTGCAGGTTTTCTTGTTGTTTGAGACAGGATCTCACTATGTAGCTCAGACTATCCTGGAACTCACTATGTAGACCAGGCTGGTCTCAAACTCACAGAGATCCGCCTACCTCTGCTTCTTCTGCTGGGATTAAAGGTGTGTGCCACCATGCCCGGCTTTAATCTGCTCATTTTCTAAAAAGATCCATCTATGATCATTTTAAACCGAGCCATAGAGACAAGTTCGCTGCTGGTGACTGACTGACTGAACAGCTCTCCTCTCCTTGGAATGGATGTGACTTGCTTCTTCCATTCCACATCTTACTTGGCAACCTGCTTGAGCTGTTGCATAAAGATCCAGCACAGGAAACATTTTATTTTGCTGCTTATGATTAATACATGTGGAACCTGCACATTCCATTTTATAAATCAAGGTTTTAGTCCAAATTTCCTGCTTTTTCTACCTTCGAGAACAAAACTCGGCTTAAAAATAGCATGAAGCTATATAGGGTCCTTGGGGTTCCAGGCCACTGGCAAAGCAATCACTCTCGGTGCTACAGTGCAGGGCCTGTTTTCAGACAGTTAGCAAGAACATTTATTCTGTGGTCATTTTTAAATGACTACATGGGTACAGCTGTTTGGCACAGCTGGTTTTGTAAAAATGTAAGTAAATACATCCTACTTTGAATTTTCTCTGCTTGTTGAAAAGGGGGGAGGAGTGGGTACTACAAACAACACCACTTGGAAGTGTAGGCTCCTGCACAGGCAGCTCGTGGAAAACCAGTGACTGACCGCCTTGCCACATCCTCGTGTTAAGCACATGTATTTCTGCCTGCAGTTTACAAACCAGCCCCTGGCTTCCATCGCTAATCATCTGCTCACATCAAGCACACGTATACACTCACTCACTCACTCACTCACACATTTTGATCTCTGTTCAAAGATTTTTCCAGTCTTACATCATCTGTTCTTTTCGACTTTCTCAAATTCTGTCGGCTCAGCTGCTGCCTAACAGCTCCAGTGGGTCTCCCAGCGTCTCTGTGGAATGTTACCAAGGTACTCTAAGGAGTTTGTGCCCAGCAGAAAAATGCTTTGGGATTCATAACAGTCATTGGCACTTCATCCTGCAAAGATGAAAGTTTTGTCATTTATATTTCATTACAGCCTATGGAGTGTTTCTTGACACAACCGAAGGAAACAAAAGAGGAAACCCGGAAGACCAAGAAGTGGAAAAAGGTACCAGCAACAGATTGTCTCAGTCGTGTGGACACATGTGGCTCCATGACATTTTTATATATTATACATATGTAAAGTTATTTGGGTCCCCAACTAAGAGAGTCAGAAATTGTCAGACTCAGTGAGATCTGTTAGCTTTCCTAAGGTCTCTAAGAATAAGTTTTCTTTGGAGAACTAAAACTAAACTTTTCGGACCCCCGTTTCACTCTTGTGAAACCCTGGCAGCTTTCTTGTCCGCTGGGTTTTCACTGTAGCATCGGATTCTAACCTAGGAGCCCGTAGCTTGTTTGCACTTCCTCCTCCACCTTGATCCAAGAAAGCCCTCTGCCCTCTTCCTATTTACTCCAGTTTCAAGCCTGATACACTAAAGCAAAACCAAAAAGGAAAGCACTGTCCAGTATTTCTGCCTCTAATTCGGGCCATAATTGAAGGCAAATGCTCCCTTCCTCTTCAATAATGGCTCTCTGCACAGAGCAGACACGGTTGCTCCTATGCAGACTCTTTCAGAGCAGACCTAGCTTTCCCCTTCCACCACAGTCGAGCTGAAGTCAGAGGAAATGATTGAGATGAGAGAAAAGAGGGTTCAGCCAGTTAGCTATTGAACAGCAAGCCTTCGGAAAGGAGTGTGCACAGGTGGCCAAATAGAAAGGTAGTGGGTGCCAAATTGGCTGAGGTCTGGCAAGTCCTTAAAGAAGTGCCTCAAGTGCACTCTGATAATTCAGTCGCACGCAGGGCCTTGAGGAGCATTAGGTTCCAGAGGTTCAGGGTCAGAGCTCTCACTAGTTTAGCTCAGCTGAGGTCATGCTAACATATGCTCATGGTCATGATGTTAGTCTGATACCTTCATAGCTACCTTGAGTAGTTCTGACATTGGGAGTGGGGGAGTTGAGAGGAATCACTCTTTCTGGGTCTTTGGAGAAACATTACAAGGAAATAAGGGATGTTTACGACAAAAATGGACAATTGTGCTTCCATGTTTTGCATACATTTGATAGAAGTTCTATACAAAGAAGTCCACATCAAAAGAGCTGAGAGGAAAGTATCTCCAGTGACATCTGTTGTATTGTGTTTCCATGACACCTTGGGACCACCTCCTAAGCCAGGAGCATCAAATCCACTTTCCTGTGAGCGCCTGTGCTCAGCTTAGTCTGCACAAGTCCAATCCGAGGCCTGCCACCTGATAGTCAGTGCTCAAATTCTTCTCTTTCAAGAGTACACATCAAAAAAAAAAAAAAAAAAAAAAAAGCACACATCGTTTAGGAGTAAAAGAGATTTCGTAGCAACAAGACTTCTAGACTTTTAACAGAAGAATACCCTACCACTGAGCTGAATGCAAAATTTTCACTTCTAAAAGATACAGACCAGGCATTACAAGGAGCCCTCTGAGATCATTTCTTCACTTTTCAAGCACTCACTGTGTCTAAGAAGTATGCAGTAAGGTTTCCCACTCAGCTGTCACCAAAAGCTACGTGCCATTTAAATGCCAAAGAAATGAGCCTACGCCACATGCCATTCTAAAAATCTAATGTTCTACTTTTTTTTTTCTCTTGTTTTAGAAGAAAATTTCTGAGATTCTTGCAAAATCAGAGCCCAAACCAGGGACTCCCGGAGACCTTCAGCAGCTCATCAAGGACCATTACAGTGGCAGTCGTTCCGTGATTGAGTTGGAAGAGCTGAACCTACCAGGTATAGCTGGGCTTCAGTTGTCCTAAGGACAGGAAACAGACCATGTCATTTCTTCTCTTCTGTTTTACAGGCATCTCTACTGGTAGAAATTTGTACATTTTTCTTGCTCTTAATCTTCTTCCCTCCATCTAATACTTTTTAATTGTTAGCAGTTTATTTGGATACTAAAAAAAGGTATTTGCTCAGGAATGCTAAGATTTGTATATGTACTTTATCTTTTACTGGAAAGATTAATTGTTCAGTACAAAGTTTTAGCAGACTCTTCAAGGAGCAAATGTCTCTGATGAAGATAGGTATTAAACTCACAAAAGGACAGGTCACACACTTAAAAGTCTTGGTGTGAAACTTTGTTTACCCTTCCTTTTTAAACAAGAACTTTAGCCTTAGGAAGTATGTTAAACTAGGTCCTGGGTCCCAGAACTAAGGAGCCTGAGGCAGAAGGATCACAGCCAGTGTGAGTCCAGCCCGAGATACAGGATAAACACCCTATCTCCAAAAAATTAACAAGATTTTTTTAAATAAGCATTTTAGTTGTTGTGGTCATGATTTCAGTTTTAGAGTAGTGTTCGGGTTGTACCCAAGACACTTCCAAGCCAAGTAGCCAAACGTGGTAATAGAATTCTGCATTTCACAGAAGCCACCATAATTTGAGGTCCAATACTTTATTTAGAATTTAGAAGATACTGCAAAAATGCAGTCACTCCTCTGAGCTTTTAGATTGTGGTGCATCTGTAAGGCTCCTGGGCAAGGCTAGGAGAAAACAGATGTTATCCTGAAAGCAAACCAAGATGAGCTTTGGCACCACTGCTCCAGATAAGCTATTTCTAGACTACTGAAAACAGCTAGTACTACTTTGGGAAGAAGTCAACAGTAGCTGACTTTCCACTACAGCTCTATGCTTTCTAGAAGCTTGAGAAGCTGAAGAACAGCCTGTTCCCTGCATAGTTATAATTCCTCTGTGCTATTTTTTCAAGTGCTCTTTGGGATTAGCAGTGGGAGTGCCCCCATCTGCTCTTTTCCAGGACAATTGCCCTTGAGGGAACTAGAGGCATGCACTTGGATTCGAACAGGATCTGGAATCTAAAGTTTACCGAGCCCACAGGGCTGCTCCTCGAGTGTGAGAGCTGTGTCCTGGCCAATCTATGGCAGGAGCAGAGTGGTGTCACAAATCCTCTGCTCAAGCTGAGGCTGAAGTCTAGTTTTCACTGTGACTCAGTTTCCTCATCTAGTTCTTTCTTAGCATATAACTGGAGCCCTGGAAGGATTTGTGAAGGACATATTGCTATTCTGTGACCTCAGAGAATGTCATAAACCTTGACTCTGCAGAACTGATGAGAGCTAAAGGTTATAAGGATGTATCCAAGTTCCATAATAAGTTTGTGTTATATTATTGTTGTTTTATTAAAGCCCCATAACACATCTGGGTAAGTTCATGAACCCGTGGAGTTTCTTTTTTGGGAGGGGTGAGGCAGGATATGTTGGAAACTGCCAGAAAGAACAGGCTTTATTATCAGCTACAAGATGACTACTCTGAGACATCGTCAATTAAGGCTTCCTGTCTTAGCTTGGATTTCAGATGATGCTTTCTGTTGCTTTGAGGAGACACCATGACCACAGCAACTCTTTAAAGGAAAACGTCCAATTGAGGTGACAGCTTACAGTTTTAGAGGTCCAGTCCATTATCATCATGACAAGAAGCATGGTAGTTTGCTGGCAGATGTGGTGCTGGAGCTAAGAGTGCTACATCTTGACTCAGAGGCAACAGGACGTCAACTGACTGTCACACTGAAAAAGACCTCAAAGCCTACCCCCACAATGCCATACTTCCTCCAACAAACCATACCTTCTATAATGCCACTCCTCTTAGGGGCCATTTCTTTCAAACATATCATTAGAAGATTTCAGAGAAAAGACCCTACTCACCACACCAAAACCAAAAACAGCCTCCAGAGGTAGTAACTATGCTAGCTGAAGAGAGAAAAGATGCCATTTGTCATTTGGAATTGGTTTAAAAAGGGGGCGTGTGTAAATAATAAAGTATTGTTCCTAATCAGTTTGTCAAGTGCCTGACTGGATTTTAATCTGAGGTTCTCTGTGTCTGAAGGGCAGGAACATGTCCTCTTAATTATCATTAATTGTGCTATACTCTGCCAACATCTAACATTTGGAAACTTAATTAGGGATTTCCAGAACAAAGACACCAGGGCCAATTAACCTCTGCTGTCTCCTGAGAGCTGGTTTGGTTTAGATCAGTGACCCTAAGTGTCTGTAGTCTAGCTGCAACCAACTCACCCAGGAGTCTCCTCAAAGGAAAAACAAGCCACCCTCAGGGACTTAGCCAAGTGGAGTCCATTCCTGTTATCAGTTTTGAATTAAACTCTCCAGATGCATCTGACCTTGTCTCCACTGGGAGAATTGTAATTGTAAAAGCCATCAAAGGCTCCCTGCCTCTATTGAGACAACTTTGAAAGTATTATGTAATATGAGTTATGTATTATATGTATTACTAAATTAACTCAAATTTAATTTGGTAATAGCTCACTCCTAAGACCATTTATGGTTTCACAGAAACTTTTTCTTTATAGAAGGAATTGGGTTAATAACCATAATGTTACTTTTTTACATATTTCAGGCTCAAAGTGAAAGATTATACTCAGACTTAATATTGTTCAGTAATCTGTGGCTATCAGTGGTCAACAAAGGCCCTGTTTTATTTTGATGTGTTGTGTTGTATTTTACAGCTAGGCTGAAGTGTTATATTTTGATACATTACTCCCATTCTATCCAAAGCTATACTATGTTTCCTTTCCTCCTAAGTATTTACTCTAAATAGTTGCTACACATTTTTATATATGCATTCTTAGATGCCATTTAGGGATATATTTTTATTTTTATCTCAGTTACACTTGCAGAGCCTCGCATTCTGTTTCTTCACTTCACACTTTTTTTCAGATAAGCCAGATGTGGCTTTGTGTACATGAAAGTGATTTCTTTGAGATGCTACACAGTGTCCCAGTTCTTTCATCTGTCACAAAGCACTCACCCTTTCCCCAGATGTGGACACCTGGATGGCTTCCCACGTCTCAAGATCATAAATTTTGCCAAAATTAATCTTTTTGTGTATCCATTTACAGCACACACAAAAAATTCTTGGCATTGTTTAGCCAGAAAATAAATCAGGGAATCACAGAGTTTATAATGTTAACATTACTACTTTCAAAATAAGTTTATCAGTTGACAGTTCCACCTTCATGACAGGGAGCTGTCATGATGAATGTTATCATCACCCCACATTCTCCCTAACTCTTACTGTCGTACATCTTTCTAATATTTGCCATCCACTGACTGCTCGCTCATTGCTGCATATATTTTAAATGAAAAAATAAATGTCTATTATTGGTGCAGCTGTTATTTTAAATATTTTAACCTCCAAGTCACTCACATATTATAACTCATTCAAGAATTCATCATTCACATTTAATCTGTTTTGATTGTATGGTTTGCAGAGTTCTCAGTAAAGCATGTTTCTCATATTTCTAGACTCCTGTTTCCTGAAGGCCAATGATTTGACTCACAGTCTTTCTTCATACCTAAAAGAAAGTAAGTAAAGTCTGATATTTTAAAAATTATTAATATTTTAAAAATTATTCCTCAGATCATTATTCCACAAAAGAACAGGTTTGAAGTCGGGTGTATCAGTGCATCCATTATTTAATGTCCTGATTTAATGTTTTGCTCTGGCTTTGGGGACTTGGGTTTGGTCCTATTTGGGTGTTATACTACATTAGATGTGTTAGTCTAGGAATCCAGAAAATGATGTCCTCATCCAGGGCATCCCGTCCCCTGGAACTTGGCCTTCTTACCTAAGAGATCAAGACACTGGGCCATGTGATTTTTAACAGCTGGGAGAACTCCAGATTCTGTTTCCATGTTCAGAACTCAGACCTCACTATTACAGCCACTCTGATTTGATATTGTAGTTGGTATTGTGTATAACCAGAAAAGGGCTAGATCATTCACATCAAAATATCACTTACTTGTTTCCAGCAACCACATGACTTACATAGATTTAGCATCCTTCTTCCAGCCTTTTAGTCTTAATATGATACCCAGGGTGCGCTCTTTGAGCATTTCTCATGGTTTTGCTTCACAAATGTAAACCTGGTTTATAACAGGAATAATATCCTGTCATAGAAACTTAAAAAGTTTAAAATTCTAAGCCTTTTTTGTTAAACATAACAATGAATAATGAATTTGAAGTATCATTTATTGCCAGTTCCATTTTAGTTCACGCTGAATGTCTCTTTAAAATTTAACATGTGTGGTGGCCCATGTCTCTAACGCCAGGCAGGTGGATGTCTGTGAGTTCCAGGCCAGCTAGGGCTATGCAGTGAGATCCTGTCTTTAAACAAACAAAAAGCTAAACTAAGCTAAAATCTAACACGATTAAATCAGAATTATCCTATTAGTCAACAATATCTTCAAGCATTAAACATAAATTTTAATCTGCTATCCAAAATAGAAAATGTAATAACAATCTGTGCTTGTTTTTTTTTATATTTTCTTAAGCACTTTACAAATAAATAATTGGAGAATATCCAATGTTAGCAGCACTGCTTTGTGTCTTCAGAATAGTTTTTGTGATCTGTCTTTCAGTCTGTCCTAAGTGGGTAAAACTTCGGAAAACCCACAGCGAGAAGAAGTCTGTCCTGATGCTGATCATGTGCAGCTCAGCTGTCCGAGCCCTGGAGCTCATCAGGTCAGTGTCGCTGCCTGGGTCTCCTGAGTGCTTTCTTAATACGTGACAAGCTGTATATTCTATGTGCAGTGAGTAAAACAGGGTCCCTGACCTGTGGGCTTTATGTACTGGCCGGGAGGCTGACAGGAAACAAGTAAATATGCATGACGGTATCCTAAACAGTGATTTGTTATATAAAGGAAAATGGGGCAGGGAAATGAGACGGGCACAGGTGGGAATTCTTTTTTAAAGGGATGGCGTTAGAGCAGAGACTCAATGAAGTGAAGGACAGAGCCACATAGCTTTCTTGACCTGAAATCAGGTAGATTTCCAAGAGTGCAGCCGTGAGCCCTGAAGCAGGATGCCATGGAAGGATTTGGGGCGGAGTGCTGCAAATCATTTTAAAGGCACACTCACACTGCTGGTGGAGAAACACGTCATGCAGGGTCAGGGTAACAGCAACAAGACCACACTAGCAAAGAACAGCAAGCAAGTGGAAGGGATGATCTGACTCAAACTAGAAACACGGGAAGGCAGAACACCAGGGAATAAACTTCCTAAACCTATATAAGAAAATGTTATGGGATGGAAAAGCTCTTAAATTGAAGTGGGTGCCCTACTCTTGAGAAGGGAGACTCGGTTTTGTAAATATGCCTGTTTTACTTAGGATCATCTACAAATTTCACAGGCTTCCAAGCAAAACCCCAAGAAAATTTGTTTTGTTTTTTTTAAACTAGATAAACTTAACTTTAAACTTTTACAAAAACATGCAACTTAAAATGGCCAACAAAGGGTTTTAAAGGCTACTGAGAAGAGGCCCTTTCATACTGCAATACAATTGTGACAGTCTCAGCAGTTCAAAGCCTCTGGGACTGTCACGTGCAGGACAGGCAGAAGGGATCCATGAGCCACAACTGAAAGGGAAGAAAGAGACCCAAGTGCATGTGAAAATGTACACAGAAAAGGTGACAAAGAAATCAGAGAGGAAGATAGATAGCTCCACAATTGTGTTCAACAACTGAGTAGCCATCTGGAAAAACAAAGTTGGATTCAACTTATTCTAACAAGATAAATTCCAAGCAGACCAAAAACTTAAAGGAAAAAAAAATTCTGTGTTAAAGATAAGTTGACACTTTATTAAGTGCTTTTACGGGCATTTCCATTTGCTGCATTTTTGTAGAATAAACAAAAAACCTTCCACTGGATCTGTGTAACATTCAGAGAACAGAGAGAGTAGGGTGGCATTTACAGGGAAAAGCCCTGTCTGGGAACCAAGCTTTGACAGGAGACAAAACAAAGGAAGTCTGTGTCTTGAAACAGGAGCTTTGTCAAGTACCCTAAGGTGCAAGTGTGCAGACTCTGTGGCGATTTAACATCTGTTTTTCTAGATGAACTAATCTAATCATGATTTTAGAAAAGTAGTTGTTAAACTTTACTGTCCCTTCAAATTCTGCTTTCTCCACCTCAGCACACACATTAAATCATATCCCACACCCTCCAGTAAAGCAAAATGTTCAAGTATGTCTGCTCCAAACATAATTGATCTTCAGTACTCCTGTTTACCTACATAGCCTCTGTACTTGTTGGCCCTGAAATCAGAGCATTTCACATCAACTTTTCTGAGTTTTAAGCAGGACTACAGAACCCATTGCAAGTTGAGATACTAATGGCATAGAAGTTGACCCACATGTGACCAGTTGTCGTGTTGATTTGAGCTTTTGCTGTATGTAAATTCCTTTCTAAGGGGCATAAAAACACTGTGTTGTCACTCTTCATTTACCAACTGTCTCCAGATATATTTTGATCCATTTCAGGGTTAAATGAATTGCAAAGTGTGATCTGAGCAGGCACAAGGAACAGTGTTTAATAATCCTATTGTAAGGACATCTGTTGTCTCGACAGCCATAAGTCCTGTTGTTTTCCTTGTTAACCCTGCAAGGGAGAATGCTTATTATGTGTAATTAAGAACACATAATTTGGATGGCATGTTTCATTCACTATTTTGTGTATCAGTATTTTCCTCCTTGTCAACAGTATTCTCAAAACAGAATGACATAAAGGAAAGGAATACCCCCGTCTTAAATGTATCTCTTAATCTTAACTAAAAACCTACTTGTTCTTTATACCCACTTTAACCCAAAACAGAACTTTAGGTGATATACAGAAATCCACCAAATGAAAAACAGATGATTAAAAAGAAAACAATAAACATCAGAAAATCAGATGAAACCGGCTGGAACTAGTGTTCATGATGTCTTCCATAAAGCCTTGTTATGTTTTAGAGATGGACCCAACTTCTGTGGACAGAATGTGTTTGGAAATGTCACTTCACAGATCCATGGCATTCTGTGAGTTTAAATTTAAAAATAAAAGATGGCCCTAGGGTGGCATAGTGGCACTGACATTAATGTCATGTATCAAGTAAAATAATGAGCAGATGGTGTAACCTTGCTATTCATAGAGCAACTGTTTGTAGACTCTGAGGCCTACTGTCAGAACAGTTCTTATAAAACCTGTCCTCTAAGGTACCAGACAGCCTTGACTCTCAGAAATCATCATCTAATTGATGTAGATAGATCAAGTGGTTGAATACCTAGAACTGAACGGACTACCTCACCTACATACCAGATGCTGTAAGTCAACAACCCAAGGATGAGTCTATGCAATAGCATGTTGGTCCTCAAAGGTTTAAATGAAGCTGAGGATATTGCTGCATGCATGTAATCCCAGCACTTGGGAGTGGCAGCAATAAAAGGATTGTGAATTTGAGGAAGGCCTGAATAACAAGTTCAAGGACAGTATAGGGTATATAATATAGATAGATGATAGACAGATAAATAGATAGATAGATAGATAGATAGATAGATAATTTTTATACATTGCACATATAAAAACCTAGATACTTGATTTCTCCAAAAATAAAGACTCAACATTGGATTTGTAATCTTACATCTTAGTAATTGGTTTAATAACTGACCTTTTTGGGGACATGTGGTCTCTCATGCCCCTCAGTCCACAGAGCTGCTAGCTAAAGAATTGCTTCACTCCTGCATGACTCACACTGCTTTCATGGACCAAGATCTACAGCTCAGTGTCTTCTTTCCTTCTTTCCTCCTTCCCTCCCTTCCTTGTCTCCTTAGGCAGGAATATTTTCATGTATGAAATTTTACAGAGAAGTTCAGTCTACAAAATAGAAAAGCAGGGAGTGTTTGCCCTCCTCCCTGGTGCTCACGTTCTGTAATTCTCTGTCTGGACACCCCAGCAGACTTTCTGCTGTCTGGGCACTTCAGATCATAGACTTCAATCCTCTGAGAATTTCTCTTGTATCCAGTTTTATTAGTTTTTGGTTTTTGGTTGTTTTTTGAATGGGGAGGGGATTGAGACATATTATGCCAAACTGCATGGAAAATTCTCTGCCAGGCACCTGAAACACAGAAATTCTGTGTAGAGAATTGCAGATGAATGTGTTTGAATCATCATAGAAACCAAAATGGCTAGCCTTGTGTTTGGCTTTAAAGGACACCCAGATGTATACCTGAGTAACAGGCTTTCCCCATTTTTGTTGTTGTTGCTGCTGTCGTTTTTTGTTTGTTTGTTTTTGTTTTCTTTTTTGAGGTAGAGTCTTTCTATATGCTAGACTGGTCTCGAACTCACCACAGTCCTCCTGCCTCAGCCTCTTCAGTGATTTCACACATGCCAGTGTGCCTGAAAGCCCACTCCAGTTTCACTGCAGAGATTAACTTGTCTAATTATCTTTTTGTGTGTGGATATAAACATAACTACACATTTAGAACAGTCTTTTGAATGATAAACTATCATTTGTAAATAGTGAGCTCTTAAATGAGTAAATTGTCATAATCTATTCAATGTATTAGTTAATCAATACATTCCTTTTCATTAGGTCACTGACAGCATTCAAAGGAGATGCCAAAGTTATGAAATTATTTGCAAAACACATAAAGGTAAGCAAGGCCTATAGTTCTAATAAGAGATGTAAGTGGCCCCAAATGGCATCGCAGGACCTCAGCGTTCCCACTCCACCTCTTCTAATCTTCAGATACGACAGATTTGACAGACTTAACAAGTACTCTGGTTTTCTTTGTGTTCTGTGCCTCTCCATGGCCACTGTGGCCCACTACAGTCACTGCCTTGCTCTATTCCTGAGTAGAAGCTGAGGTTTGTCCCAATTCTTTGGGCACTGACCGCTTTTTCTTACAAAAAATTCTCGTTGTCCTAGAAGTTGGTCCCATACAAGAGTGGCCCTATTTGCTTTTTTATTTTCTTTACGTAGAGATAAAATGCTCTAAAGTGACCTGCAGTTCCACTTTCTTAATGATTAAGAAGCCTTTTCTTTCTTCTCTTCTATCTCGGAAAGGTCCGAGAGCAGGTAAAGTTCCTGGAGAATCGTGTGATACACCTGGGTGTGGGAACTCCAGGGAGAATCAAAGAACTTGTTAAACAAGGTATGAAATTGAGGATGGTGAGAACTCTGTTAATAGCCAGCCCTCTGCCTTGCTCCCCCACCCCACCCCATTCAGTCTCGGGGAAACACATTTGGGGCGGTTTTTTCAAAAAGAAAAACAAACCTCTGTAAATCGCCCAGTGGGAAACTCAACTCTGCCTTTGATCTCATAAGCCAGCCAGTTTGGGCAGTGCTGTGGGGGATGACAAGGACTGTGGCCCACTCAAGTGCACTCGCTCACCTAAGCACGTTCTGATTCCAGTGGCTCTGGGCATCTGAGTGGACCCACACAGGCCTCACCACCCATTAGCAGTTCTTGGAGTTAGCAGAGCCGGCAATGCTGAATATTTCCTTCTCAGGAAATTGAGGCTTGGTTCCCATTCTAGTTGTGATGGGATAACACACTGAAATGAAAACACCATTTCTATAAATGATGCAGAGATATTCTGAAGATTCTTCCCAAGTACATTTCCCTGTTAGTGCTTTGCACAGTAAGTATTCTAGAATCCTTGGTGGGCTTTCATAGTTTGCCAATTCCCTCAAGCCAGAAGCCTAACAACCTGCTGGTATTCCTAGTATGTGTTCTTGACCCCTTTAGGTTTGGGGGGGCTGGGTGTTTTGGAGGTGCTGGAGATTGAATCTAGGGCTATTACACATGATCAGCAAACTCTCTACCACTGAACTGTATCACCAGCACTCTTTTTGCTTTTACTCTGAGATGACATCTCACTGGACTGCCTAGGCTGCCCTTGATCTTGGGATCTTCCTTAACCCCCAAAGCAGCTGAAGTCACAGACCTACCTGAGCCAGGAGGCTGGCTCTGATTTATTGATTTCATTCTTCACTTTTAAATTACTTAGTATAGTAATGTTGCTTTGTTTTCCTGAATTATTTTGTATATGTCAAAGTAACACCTTCAGCAATATTGTAGCTCAGGAAGCAACATCTAAAACACCTGGCATTCCTCTCCAGATGACAGTACCTATAGCTAATTAAATCCACTGACTTCAGAGTTCTGTGCAAATGGCAAAGAATTAAGACATGAAAGGTCCCTGATAGAAACAGGAGACAAACATTTTTGATTTCCTACTTGTAACTGGTGTTATACTGGACATCCTTGTTTTGTGCTTTCTAACTGGTACCCACAGCGTCCTTACTAGCTAGGACTCTGAATTTTTTATGAGCAAAAACACAGCCTCAGAAAAATGTATCCCATAGTCTCAAACCAGGCCTTCTTAGTTCCAGAGCCCTTTTCACCTCAGGGGGTTCCTTGAAACTTGGGTGTTTGTCTTGTGGACACAGGAAGGCATTGGGATCAAGAAGCAGGTGTTAGGTACCAAGTCTGGTCCTCTTGGGGAGGCAGATTTGAGGAGACTGTTTGGGCATTGGGAAAGGCCAGGGAGAGATTCTTGGGTTGGTCCTTGACACCCCTACAACTTTCAGCTCAAGATTCAGCTCGTCCCTTCCAGGACCCATGACTTCTTCTGTTACCCAGTCCCCTACCACCTACAAACCAGGACCCTTTTAGGTTTAAAATAGAAGCAGAGAGGAAGGGAGGGGGACAGAAAGAAGCTGTTCAAGCTGTTGATTAGATTTCTATGGAGTTGGGGAAACTCTATATGACGGCCTGTTTCATATGGAAAATAATGTTGAGCTGTTGATTTTTTATGTGATATTAATGAAAGCTTTTACTTCTGAATCTGATTGGATGGATAGTTTAAAATATATTAGCCATGGTGTTAGGATACTTATAAGGTGTTTATAAGTATAGCTCCAGCTATAGCCTGGGAACTGAGTTTCTGTCAAAGCTAGAGCAGATACAAACTCATTTTGTATCACTTAACACAATGCTTAATGAATTTGATTCCTGGAACACACATGGTTCCAGGAGGGAGGGCTGACCCCTCAAAGGTGTCTCCTGACCTCCATACTGTCACCTGGCATGCAGGTCTGCACACATACACACAGGCACACACTAAACAAATGTAACTTTAAAAAAAAAATTAAGAGGATGCAGATAAAAAAATAAGTTACTTTAAAGATAATGTCTAGTTAATTATAATGAGTATACTGCCTTTCAGGTTTTTTGTATACAAGTATATATTTTTATGAAGCAGCGATCATATAACATTCCACATGGCTACAATGTATGTTTCATATGTATACATATATAGAAACTTTGTATTATAAATACAATATATATGCCTCATTTATAATATATGCTTATGACTTAAGAGGATTTTCTCTCTCAGAAAATTGATTTACTTCTTATTTGTAATATCTATGGATTACATTGTCTGAAATGCTTTTAGTATAGAATACTTGGATTTTATCCAGTTTTTTTAAATTATGCATAAAACAGTGATCATTGTTGGGAATAGCTTTAAACTTCTGATAGGTTTGTTTTTTATCCCAGACATGACAGAAAGAAAGTTATTCTGTCAATGCGTGTTCGAAAGAAAGCTCTGTGGTTCTTTCTCGAGGGGGCTCCTCTCCTGGCTTCCTGTGTCTTTTAGAGGAGGACTAGCAACCCGTTATCTTTTCCCACTTTCCTTGCATAATTCTGGTGAGAGGGTTGTAATACACGGTATGTAACTGTAAGAGGCACGAAAAGTCTCTGGGGTGGAGCGGGAAGTACTGAAGAGGGAAAGAAAGGCTGTGGAGAATAGCTGCATTGGAGAAGCTTCAGGTATTGTTCCCAAGTGTGGAGGGCGAGACCTCGGACCGACCGCAAGGGCTGGATTAGTGCCAACCTTTTAGGACCTGGGGCCCAAACAATCCTGGGTCTCCTGCAGTCTTCATGTGCAGTAATTCTAGGTAAACCAGGCAGCAGAGTGGCTGTAATCCTTACAGGATTCCCCAGCCTCGTCTACGGGGAGCCCCATCAGCATCCTTCCCTGCCTCCGAGTCTTGCATGCTCTCGACTTCTGTCAAAGCCCACTTACCCTGGCTCCAGGAAACAGTCTCAAAACCCTGCCAGGAGGGAGCCCCCCAGCCTCGGGCCTTCACGAATGGAGGGCTGACCGCCTGAGTCCCGACAGGCTTACCCAGAGTTGCTGCTCTGTGCTCTGAAGCGCTGATAAAGCTGTGTGTGTCAGAGTGCTGCACGTGTTTCCCATCAAGCAAGCAGCAGTGTGCAGAGGTTCATTGCTGGGGGAGAGGACGGCGAGTGCGGCAACCAGGAGGATGAAAACCATTTTAATAGGCTTACGTCGTGAGGTCTTTACTACCGTGACTCTGTGTCTTTCAGATGGCCTTAATTTGAACCCCTTAAAGTTTCTGGTTTTCGACTGGAACTGGAGAGATCAGAAACTAAGGAGAATGATGGACATTCCTGAGGTACTGTGTCATCAGCTGTTGTCTTTAATCTTTTTTTGTTTTTTCAAATTTGAACTTGAGTTCAAACACAGTAATAAAGTCTTTGACTTGGGGAGCCAGCACATTCTAGCTTTGGAAATTATTTCTGTCTTTAACGCTGAGGTAACTATTATAGCGCCATCTCATCGGCTTACACATAACTGTATCCTTTCCATGTGTAATATACAACCCGTTTGGTTGCCCACTAAATGACCTTGGCCCCTGCCCCACTAGGACATCTGCACTTCAAAGAAGCTGGAGGATTTGCCCATTGCCTTTGCCTCTCGTCACAGACAGAGTCATCTTGGTCACTTATTCTTACATACACAGTTTTGGCCAAAGAGGGGGGAGTGGGGCTGCCTCATCATTGGCTTCTTCACGTCCCCACAAAACCTACTTACATAATTTACAAAGATGTTTTCGTTTTGTGTGGAGGGTTCCTGTGTCTCAGTGGATTCAAACCAAATGACTGAATGCTTTTGTGGACACCACACAGCTCACTGTATATTTACTGTATAGTTCATTGCCCTCATAATGTAGAAATTTTACTTTACCACCCACCATGTTATCATGGAACAGTTTTCAATCTAACCTGATATGTGTGGGGAGGGAGTTATATAATAATAAATAAGGCTGCCAATCACCTACCGGGACTAAATCATGCCAGTAACTATCAAAAGGCTTGGAGTTAGGCCTCTAAAACATGCTGTGAGTTAATTTACCACATAAAACTACTTCCCCAGACTGAACAATGTTCATTATAGTTGATTGACAAGTTATATTAGGCATCAATTCAAGGTAAAAAAAAAAAAAAAAAAAACCATTGGCTTAGCTTCCTATGCATGCAATCACATGTGCGCACTCGCGTGTACACACACACACACACACACACACACACACACACACACACACACACACACACACAAACCCACGCCAACACTGCACTCTGCCTCCATGAATAACCTTTTTTAAAACTAGTTAGGCAAGTTTTTTTAAAACATGAGGCAAGATTTGATGGTTTTTATTATAATATTAAATCTGAGTAATCCACTGCTACAGTGTCAAAAATTTGTCATCATAGATATTTTTGTTATGTTCATGCCTTTAACAGTTATCACAAGGCAGTCAATCCTATATTGACGGGATCTTTGCATGAAAATCTTTGGAGTCCTTGAACATCTGTATGGCATTTTCTTTTCAATGGATGCAAACACAAGGGCACTTTAATGAAACTGATATTTTACAGTCCTCTGCCTTTACTCATGTGACTCAGCTCTGAATCAAACATGGACAGGACTTTTGCCTCTCTTGTTCTGGTCATAACAGCTGTATGAACACCTGGGAATCCCAGGTGTGGACTTTGCCCTCTCTGGTTATGACCATAACAGCTGTATGAACACCTGGGACCCCAGGTGTGGACTTTGTTCACCAGGACTACTGCTGTGTGATTATAACCTTTCTATTGTTTTTCTCTCTCATTTAGATAAGAAAGGAAGTGTTTGAGCTTCTAGATATGGGAGTGTTTAGCCTCTGCAAGTCAGAGTCCTTGAAGCTGGGCCTTTTCTAAGCCTGGGTCCTGATGAAGTGTCCAGTTGCCACCATGCTGCAAGTGCTCAGTAGCTACCTCCTGTGATGTAATTATATTAAGTGCGTCACCCAGTGGATCATTGGGAGTGCTGCGTGCAGATTCTTTGACAGCTGCGAATGTGTCCTTTGGCTAATGCCTTCATTCAATAAAGAAGCTCTGCCTTGTGTACGTTGTCTTTGTTGAGCTGAGTTTTTCTTTCTTCTCTGCTTTGACTATGCAGGAGGCAGGAAACAGCAGCTGAGAACCAGAGCCACTCCCCTCTCTGAGCATCAGTCTTAGAGGCTGAAAAATGGGAATGCTACCTCACAAAACTGTCAAAGAGACCATGGGGTGGTGCCCATGGAGCAAGTTGGTAAACTAAAGCATAACGGCTGGGGCTATAGCTCCCAAGTAGATTCCCCCATATGATTGGGGGATCTTGAAACCAAAACCCAACCCATAGCCATACCCAACCAGGAGAGGGCTCAGTTTTAAGTGCCTTTAGCGCCCTGGGATGAGTCCCCCTTCCCTCATTTCTGATTGGTCAGGTTAGACGGAGAAGAGTGATATGCTGGGCTCACTATGGGGAGACTGATGCCTGCTGGGTCTTTGTCATAGCTTGAAAGGAAGCTGGAAGTTCAGCATCTTGTTATGTATGGTCTCTTTTCATACCTCTCTGTCTGTCCGGTGAAATCTGACTGCAATATTCCCTCTCTGTGAAGCATGTTGTGGGCACACAATGTGGCACACTGAAGTTAGAAAGAACGAGTGTAAACGCTGGGATGTGACTCAGTGGTAGAGCACTTGCCTAGCATGGATGAGGTCCTGGGTTTGATCCCCACTCGCACACGAAAGAGCAAGTGTACCTGGTACAGGCAGATAATAAATACAACAGCCCTACCCATTTACATGTTTGAGTTTTTAATTTGAAATAATTTCCAGTATGCACAATTTTTGCAAAAATGATGTAGGTAATTCCCATGTCCCCTTCCTCAGGTTCTCCCAATGTTACCATCTAATACACCCAATGCACAGGTACTAAAACTGACAAAGCAGCATCAGCACAGTACAGGTAAACTGTAGATGTTATTCTGGTGTCACAGTTTTTTTTCTAATGACCTCTTCCCAGCCTAGGATCCCGTGGAGGATCCTGCTGCACCTGTTACTCTTCCTTATAGTGACAGTACCTTGCCCCTCCCCCCTATCTCATGATGTCAGGGTGAGTACTCACCATGCCTTTCATAAACTCTCCTAAGTTCTGATTGTCTACACTATAATGTGAAGTTTTGTGGATTTTGGTCAGAACCACAGTGGTAGTGGGTCCATCTCTCTGTGTCGAATCAGGGGATGCATAATGTCACTGTGTCTTGGTTCCCATGATATTGGCCTTGAACACTTGGTAAAGATGTCAGATGCCACTTCCTCCATGGTAGAAAGATGTACCATTTTTCTCTTTATAGTCAACATCTGACTTGGAGGACATACTTTAATGATATGTAAATACCTTTTTCTTCAAGCCACCCAGAAATTTTTAGCAGCCACTGGTTGTTGCTGCGGCTCATTTCAGTATCTCTTCTATTCCTTCCTTTCTGTTCATCTTTATTGGAATTCCTGTGAAAAGGAACTTTCGTGGTTCTTAGTTTCTTTGTTCATTTATGTTTCACACCCATGAGCAAACATGAATATTTTATTCTATGACTTCTATGTTTCAAGATGGTGTCTCCCTGTGTAGCCCTGGTTAATCCTGGAACTCACTGTGTAGACCAGGCTAGTCCCAAACTCAGAGATCTACCTGCTTCTGCCTCCTTAGTGCTGGGTTTAAAGGTGATCACCACCATGCCTGCTCAAAAATTTGTCATCATAGATTTTTTGTTACATTCATGCCATGAATATTTATCACAAGGCAGTCAGCCCTATACTGGAGGGGAAAAAAAAACTACTACTATTATTCTGCAAAAGTAACACAGCAATAAAATGACTCCCAATGACATAATGCTATGCCCATAGATCAGCGCCTCACTAGACCCTCATCAGAGAAGCTTCTTTTTGCAGTAGATGTTGGTAACACAAAGATCCACAGCTGGACGATGCCCAGAGAGTGAGAGATGTCATCATCAAACCCCTCCCTCAAGGCTCAGGGATCGATTGATGTAGAAGAAGAGAAGAAAGATTGTAAGAGCCAGAGAGGATGGATGACTCCAAAGAAACAGCATCTTCTAAACACAGCAGGAGTGAAACACATGCATTCACAAAGCCTGTGACAGCATGCACAAGACCTGAGCAAGTTCAAACCAGACAAGATGACAGAACCAAGAAGGGTAGTGAACACAAAATCCCACCCCTAACCAAGAAGCTATCTGCAATTGATACCTGCTGGGAAAAGAAAATCCGGTTTCTCCCATGGAATGTGCTGGGGTATGTCAACCATACTGCAAGATAGGCCCCTTCCCAGTAATGGTTGGCCAACAGAAAACATAGACTGGAGTTTGGGAGATTTGCTTTGCTTTGTTATTGTTTTTGTGACTTTTTCGTTTCATTTGGGGTGTTTTTTTTTTGGGGGGGGGGATATTTTTTGCCTTATAGATTTTTGTTGTTATTTTTTGAGATGCAATATGAGGTTGAATAGGTAAGGTCGCAGGGAAGAGTTGGGAAGGAAAGAATATGATCAAAATATATTGTGAGAAAAAAATAATGAAAAAAAGTAGATCAAAAGTTTACAAAAAAGTAAGGGGGATATGTGATGTGTTATCGCTCTTAAGAATATTGCCCAATGGGAAAGGCGTTTGCCCAGCCCCAACCTATTGTACCAGACTTCCTTGATTCCTCATGGGAGCTCTTACCCATGAGGAGGAGTGAACTGGGGGTGGGCTAGGGGTTAGGTGAGGGGAGCAGGAGGAGAGGTGGGAGGGAGAACTGTGACTGTAATGTAAAATGAAATTTTTAAAGAATAAATAAATTATAAAAACTGTGAAGAAAAAAAAAAGAATATTGCCCAGAGATGTTTGCTCTTACTGCCTATGATGGCAGATTTTAATATGTCTACTTGGCTGAACCACCCGAGAGTAGGTGAGACATTCCTGTGTGGTTGTCTATGATAAGAATAACATTTAAGGGCCTGGCAGTGGTGGCTCATGCCTTTAATCCCAGCACTCAGGAGGCAGGGGCAGGCGATCTCTGTGAGTTCAGGGCCAGCCTGGTCTACAAAGCTACACAGAGGAACCCTGTCTCAAAAAACCTAATAATAATAATAATAATAATAATAATAATTCATTGGACTTAATAAAACCAGATTGTCCTCCATTACGTGGGTGGGGTTCAACCCTTCCATTTAAGACCTGGACAGATGAAGCTCAGGGCCCCCACCCCCAAGTAACAGAATTCTAACTGAAAAACTGACTCTTCCTAAGGTTAAGTGTCTGCTGGTCTTCAGAACTCAGCTGGGACACTGACTCGACTCAGCAGATTTTGGACTTAGCCTCTATAATTGTGTGAGACAATTCCTTACCGTGTATACTTATGTGTCTGTGGATTTGATTTTCTGGAGAGGCATGGTGAACACATTACCTGTGAAGTTTTTTTAAGTTTGTGATCTTGTTTTGTAAGAAGGCTAAGAAATACTGCTCTTAATTGTTCGTTATAGAAATAACCTTTTTATTGGGCACTATCTGTTTTAACGTTGGGATAGGACCTTAAGTCACAAATGTGCCTGATGTCTTATGGGACCGTTTAACATATAAATCTAATTGTATGTTCTGTAGCTGCCCTAATACCCAAGCCCTTAGCCATGTTCATTTAGCAAAACAACTAGTAGATGTTAACTGTGGCCTCTGGCATCTCACACACACTGTCTGGTAGGTGACAGAAGCCCCCCCATCCAGTCTCCACTTGCAGGTCAGATTCTAATGGCATGCTGAAACTCCCATGGGTGATTTGCTTTGTTTGTTCGTTTTGCAAGTATAAAGACAAATTGGAAATCTCTTAATGTATTTGCATTTATTTACTTGATATTCTTTTAAATCAGGTTCGTTTGTCACTGCCTTTATTGACACATGGCTTCCCAGCCTACTTTATAAAACCCAAAGTCTGTGTCTTCTCTGGCAGTTTTTTTTTTTTTTTAAGGAATAGTTATAAATTGTTAATGCCAAGGGAGAAAACCCTTAAACCAGAGCTAATACCATATTGCAAGGTTTGAATATCTGATAATGCTTCACCAACCTCTAGAAAGTAGATTTGAGAGAGGCTAAAAGGAGACTTTTTCTTTCAAGATCTTTATTTTATGTGCATGAGTATTTTGTCTGTGCCTGAATTAAAAGTGTATTTTGTCCATGCACTATGAATGCAGTGCCTGAAGAGGCCAGAAGAGGGCATTGGATCTCCTGGGTCTGGAATTAAAGACTTGTAAACTACCCTATGGGTGCTGGGAGTTGAACCTGGGTCCTTAGGAAGAACAGCCAGCGCTCTTATCCACTGCGCCATCTCTCCAGCCCCAAAATGAAATGTTGTAATCTATGTTTTCTGCCTGGGTCTTTCTTATGTATGAAAAAAGAAGGAAAGAAACAGAAAGAGAGAAAGAGGAAGAAAGTTAGTGACGTTAAATACATGTACATATATTCTGCAAATTCCTGTTTCTCCTTTCTGTATCATCACAAATGGCAAAAGTAGCTTTCATCTCAGGGCATTTTCCAACTTAGTTCAAATTTGTGTTAGGCAATAGCTATATTTGGGAGAAAGCTGATAGCCCCAACTTCAATTGTATTAATCACCAAAGAATTACACAAGTTCATAAAGATAAATTTAGGAAGGTTTTGCCTTAACTTAGCCAACAACCCTCAGAAACAGGCCTTAACAACTGCTTCCAAATGTGAGCAGTTGGTTTTTACAGATGTTGAGGCAAACCCTCTTTGGTGTGGCATTTAACACAGCAGGCTTTCTGAGTTACAATGAAATGCACCCAGCAGTGACCGGCGAGAGCTATGTTTACTGCAGGTAGCAGGTCTGCTTAGAAAATAAGACAGAAAGCAAAAATGACTTCACAACTTCATGTCATTCTTCATGTAGCATTAGCATTATGTGTTATTACTACAATCATGAATGTTCTCAATGTCCCAAAAGTATGTGAGTCACCTACAGGACCAAAATGGAGGTGATGCCCCAGTATGACCTGTCCAGACTGCCAGAAAACACAGCCCTGAAGCAGCAAAAGTTGCCTGCCCACCGGCTAGATTTATCTGCCTCGGTGGTCCTCTCTATCTTTTTTGCCACAGGCGGGTTCTGCCTCTGTATGGGTGTTATCCTTATACTGTCTGCGAAGAGCACCAAGGAACTTGAGGTTTGTTGCATCTCACATTTTTAATTTTCAAATGTTTTCAATTTGAGACTGTAAATGACAGCAGTCACTTTAAAAACAGAGCCCCTCAATGGGAAACTAGATCTGACTGGATCCACCGAACTTTGGGCCCGCAGGGATGCAGATGGGGGAAGAGCCCTTAGTATTGATTTCATTCATTCTTGCTGTCAGACTGTACACATTTATGTACTGGCCAAGTCAGGTGATCTTAGAGAAGGGAGCAAGCCACAAACAGAGGTAGAAGAAGAGAGGCAAGTTCAAAAGCTAGCCAGACCTGGATAATCCAGATGATAATAAACCCAGAGCCAAAAATGGAGATCTTGGGTTTTGTTGTTGTTGTTTTGTTTTGTTTTGTTTTGTGTTGTTGTTGTTGTTTTCAGAGCATACAAGCTTTTAAATGTTATTCTTCTGTAATTAGCATGAGGTGGTTGTAATAGTTTAATGGGCACAGTGAGTGTTTTTTTTAGTACATGTTTACAAATATATACTGAGTAAATCAATGGAATTGCAATTTTTCTTTCCTTGATTTCTTTGATTAGCTTCTAGCTCCTCTCTTCTGATATCCATGAAATATAGGAAGTTACTATGAGCCATAGACACTGCTGTACTGTGAAGCACAAGGATCATTCTTTCTGTATTTCCTCACCTCATCCAGCTCCCTGCCCCCTCCCACTTCCCTTCCTGCCCTCTGGCTAATTAACCCTCCCCGCTGCACATGAACTGTTTTAGCTTCCATATAAAAGTGTGAGCATGCAACATCAGTTGTTCCAATAGCCTCCATATCCATTCATTTCACTGGTAATGACAAGATTGCCTTTATGACCAAAGAACGTTCCATTGTAAATATACTATGTCATCTTTATTCATCTGTCATTAGACAAGGAGATCAATTCCATAACATTGTGAATAGGACTGCAAAAAAATTGTGGGAATATGGGTATCTTTTTAATGTACTAATGTCATTGTCTTAAGCTATATATTCAATGAGAGGAATCACTCTTTACATGTCACTTCAAGTACAAATGACACCTGCCTCTCAAGTTCTATGAACAGTGGACTATAGTCTTTGCTCTGTTTTGCATTTACAAATGACCCCTGCCTCTCAAGTTCTATGAACAGTGGACTATAGTCTTTGCTCTGTTTTTGTCTATAGGTTTACAAGTTCAGCGAACACTGGATTGCAATATACTGTCATTATGTGCACAATATATTGGGGACATGTATTTCTCACTAAAATTCATAGAGGTAGAAAGCACCAGAGATACCATCTCATCAAAATCTGTATGGTCATGAAACATTTAATTCTGTGTCCATAACTCAGTATGGAATCTATGAAATAAAGTGCATTCCAACTTGACATCACTTGTAGATAAACTGTTACATGAAACATACTGATGATCAAAATTTTGGATCCTAGAGGTCAAATGCAATCATCCAGTCAAAAGAGGACTTTGATCACACTAGAGCCCCAATTCCCAGGGTACAGTTTAGTGTGTTGTCTGTGTTTGCATTTGATTGGTATACTGTCCTATTCTTTATTGCTCCTTATCAACTGAAGTATAGTTCCACATCCAAAAAGGACACATTTTTTCTCAAAGTAATCATTCAAGCCATACATGTATGTAAAGAATGGTGACTTGGAACATTGATAGTGCTTACATATTTATACTTCACTTTCCCCTGTAACTCCTTAAGGGGCTTCACAAAGAGTCAGTATTTCTTTCCTCTGAATTTTCTCTCCAAAAGAATCCTACATCCTATTGACACCTTACCAAAGAGAAAGCTACTCCCTTGCTTCTCTGAGCTTCCACTTTCCCAGAATCCTCTGATTACTCTTCATTGTAGACTGGGGAGCAGAATCTGCCCACGGGATTGGGTAGCAAAGAGCCCCTGGGGCCCCCATCTCTGAGAGTCCCCTCCCACTGTCTGTCAGCTTAGACCTCCCAGACTGAGTGCAGAGTGTCCTGCCAGAGCACACAGGAGTGGCTCACTTGGGACACCTGACTCTTTTTATTTATTTTTTGTAATGGCTAGGCCTAGGCCCTCCCTCATGTGTCCAGGCCAAGAGTGCATCCCTTCGCGTGGAATGGACTCTCAAAGTCCCTTCTTACACCAGGGAAAAATACTAACCCACTACCAGGGCCCCCCTAGAGTGTGGAGACCTCCTAATTAAAATCCATGTTCAGGGGTCTGGATCAGTCCTGTGCTGGCCTCCCAGACAACAGTCTCGGGACCATGTGCTCCCCCTTGTTCAGGTCAGCTGTTTCTGTGGGATTCACCAGCCTGGTACCGACCCCTTTGATCTTCATTCCTCCCTCTCTGCAACTAGTTTCCAGAGTTCAGTTCAGTGTATAGCTATGGGTATCTGCTTCTGCTTCCATCAGCCACTGGATGAGGGCTCTAAGATGGCATAAAAAAGTAGTCATCAATCTCATTATAGGGGAAGGGCATTTAGGCTATCCTCTCCACCTTGTCATCTTTGTAGGTCTCTGGAAATCTCCCTAGTGCCAGATCTCTCCTCAGACCTATAATGGCTTCCTCTGATATGGTATCTCTCATCCTGCTCTCCTCTATTCTTCCCCCAACTCAACATTTCTGCTCCTCCATTTCCTCCTTTCCTCTCCTATTCTCCTGCTCTCATTCTGGCAGCTCCCTCTCCCCTACCCTCATGCTCCTAATTAGCTCAGGAGATCCTGCCCCTTCCCATTCTCAGGGGTCCATGCGTTTGTCCCCTAGAGTCCTTCTTGTTTCCTAGTTTCTTTGGTGAAGAGGACTGTAGGCTGGTAATCCTTTGCTCTATGTCTAAAATTCATATATGAGTGAGTACATACCATGTTTGTCTTTTTGTGACTGGGTTACCTCACGCAGGATGATTTCTTCTAGTTCCATCCATTTGCCTTCGAATTTCAAGATTCCGTTGCCTTTTTCTGCTAAGTAGTACTCCATTGTATAAATGTACCACATTTTCTCT